TAGTAGAGCCTGAAAGTAGCGCTTGGCTCGATTCCTACCACGGACGGGGATACATTTCATCCATATCGCCAGCCTCACATGGGCGGGCGAACAGCCCAACCCTTTGAACATACAGAAGCCCCAGGTGGCGAAGAGCCGACATGAATGGCCTTGTATTTTTTATTTTTATTTTTTTTTTGGGTTTTCTGTTGAAAATAGAAGTTGAGGTTTTTGGACTGGAGAGGTGTGAAGACTTTTTTGATGAATGTTACAAAGAATTCTGTTGTTCTTGTTCTCTTTCTCTCCCATGGGATGAAAGTTTACTCATAACAATCTGAATAAGCTCAAATAAGTAAACTATGGTGGATGCAAACTGAACCTTTCCATTGACTAAATGAATGATTTTGAACACCATTTATTGTGCTCAAATTCTAAACGAATGAATACAAACACTTTCTTGCTCAAATTATGAACAAGCAAAAGAGTAAAGTGTTAGTTGAGCTTGAGCTTGAAAGCCTCAGGTACAGTTTGACTCGGATCTCAGTTGGATCGGATTGTTTACAACACTACTTCTTTCATCTCCCGTAGGCTTGGTCTTGATGTGTATAATGCTTGCGTTTTAGTGGGGCAGCATGGAGAGTGTCTGATTATTGCGCCTTCTTTATTCATTATTCTTTTTATTTATATATTTATTTATTTATTTTTACCCGTTCATTTACCTAGGTATTGATTTTTAATCAAGAAATCAATGGGTGACAGTCAGTACTCGTTCTCTCTTACCACTTTCAGGTATGCATGAGTTGGTTGCACAATTGTTTTAATGATCTATTTGTCTTGTCTGATTATCATTTATATTTATCATGGATGGCAGTCCTTCAGGAAAACTTGTTCAAATTGAACATGCTTTGACAGCCGTTGGATCTGGTCAAACATCTCTTGGAATCAAAGGTCAGTTCCGTGCTCTCCAGTGAGAAACTTTAGTGACGAATTGGCTCTTGAATATGAATTAACAAGTGATAGGATCTAAATATGAGGAAGCATTAGGTCTCATTCTGTTTGACTACTTGTAGATAATGTGTCACTTTAATTTGCTAATTTCGTTCGTTAGAATATTTTTGAAACCTTCTGGCACTGATTGTGAGGGTGTGTGGGTGGTTGCAGCTGCTAATGGTGTTGTTATTGCGACAGAGAAGAAATTACCATCCATCTTGGTTGATGAGACGTCTGTAAGTGTTATTTTATCTGCCTAATTGTTCTAATGGTCCTAAGCGTGCG